TCACGCCTCCCTCGTTACAGAAAGAATGAAGAGAGAATGAATTTGCATTTTTCAATAAGCCCTTCTGCTTTTTGTTTTAGTCCAAAGCCAAAAACGACCCTTATTTTTACACAGATAACATGCAGTTTGATATACACGCAGTTTAAATAATAGATTAAAGGGGTCATAGAATGCTGCATGCACTTTTACAAGTTGTTTGAACTGAAATGTGTGTTGGCAGTGTGTATACACAACCACCCTATAATGATAAAGATCCACCCAGTGTTTTTTTTTAATATTGTGTTAAATGTTTTCCCTTTTCTCAAATCGAGCCGATCTCAGATGCCTGTCTCGACATCTGAGCCGCTGAACTCGCAGTGGATTACATTTGTTTCTGAAGGGAATGCGATCTAGATAAATATGTCTATGTTCGTGCGAATCATTCGTGATCCAGCCTCATCTACAGAAGAAGTGAGTATTTTTGTAATGAATCTTTGCAAATCGCCTTTCCTAATAATGTGCTAATTAGTAAGTTTCACGATGAATGCGGCTAAAGTAAACAGTCTCTCAGAGAGCAGCTCGGAAGAGAGGGGCGGGGTCAGCAGAGCTCATTAACATTTAAAGGAAAATGCTACAAAAACGGCTTGCTCTGAAAAGAGCTGTTTTTGACAGGGTAAAAAAGGTGTTTTTTACACTACCGTTGAGAAATTTGAACCAAACTATGATACAGATCTTTCATTAAGACCCTAAAGAATCATATCAACTTGTGGACCAGTTATCTCTGGATTTATAACCTACATTACTACAAGCCAAACGAAGCGTGCAAGCGATTTAGTGATCTGATCACGTCATTCTCTGATACGGCGCTTCAGTGAAAATTGCAATGTGTTCTTGAAGAGCTCATGTGGGCAAGTATATATCTTCTACGTTTTTATGGCGGTTAGCAAACCAGCTTTAGGTGCATATACCGCCGCCTATAGGATGGAGTGTGGAGCATTGATGTTAAGGGAAAACTAAAAAGCTAAAGAAAAAAAACAATAATTCTTTAAATCCTGTTCATTAACTCTGTATCTTTGAGATACTTAAATAGTATGTGAAGCATGTCTATATGCATCTTTATTTAACAATTTCTGAAGTGCGATCCGATTAATTCCTATATAAGTGCTTCTGTAAGTTGTAATCTTTCATTATCATACCCTTTACATTTGATTAAAATATGGTCAACTGTTTCAGGAAGATCACATTTAAAGTCCAGACTCATGTTTTCCTATTAGATAGCCTATAATGATTGATTAAGTGCAGTGTGTTCAATTCTAAGACGAGATATTATGCTTTCTTCCTTTCTATTCCCAAAAATTATCCTCTCATTTCCAACTATTTTTTGAATATTATATAAATGTCGTCCTTTATTCTCACCATCCCATTTACTTCGCCATATCTTTTAACGCTTTTTTAATTTGCCCTTTTATTTATAATTTACTCATCGGAACATTAAACTCTATGTCTGGATGTTTTAATGTTGTTTTCGCTATTTGATCCACCACTTAATTTCCTTCTATTCCTGTTTGTGGAGGTATCATACAAAAGAGATAACTGTTTTTGTTTGCATTCTGAACAAACTTTGTAAAACGTCTGATAAAATGTCTTGTCTAGTCGAAGATTTACGACTCATTAAACTTGATAATGCTGAAAAAGAGTCTGAACATAAGACCACTTCAGGTGTGGGACAGTACTACAGGACAGGAGTCCTTTAATATATTCCGTGAAGCCAAGAAAAATGGCAAGAGTAATCAATTCATATTCTATTTGAATATATATTATTTCTGTTTTTCTGCCACGGAGTGCAAGAATAAAACAGGTAAGGGGTAATTGCAACTTTCTCAGTTTTGATAAATAAGTAATAATTGCTAAAACAGAACCTAGACTTTATGTATTTATATATATATATATATATATATATATATATATATATATATAGAGTGTGCGGAGAGTATA